TTTTATTTTTATTAAATGTATGCATGTGATAAATAACATCTTTGAATCTTAAAGTAATTATACAGATACAAAGATAGTTTGCATTGGCTCAATGGAGAAGAAATAACAGAACTTAGAAGCATTTTGTTTCATTTTGTATTTTTATGGAAACATGTTTTTGAAAAGAACTGTTTAATTTTAGTTTTATGACGGTGATTTTTCGGACCCACTTTCTTTTACCACCAAATAGAAACAAATAGAAAATCTACATAAAAAGTAAACAACCCAAAAAAGAAAACAACAACAAAAGACGAGACATAACTACTTACCAGTACAACTATCTTTGCTTTGGGGAGGCGGGAGGTGAGCAGCTGTGCAGTAGCAAGAATTCCTCCTGCAACTTGCTCTGCTGTGTGTTCGTAATTGTTGGTTCCTACCCACAACACCACCACCTGGACAAGACCACAGACGCACACATTAATCTCCAATACCGTGATCAACGCATCATCAACAGTAACAACAACATCCTGTTAGCGGTTTTGTGAGAATGAGTTGAGAATGAAGAGACTGATATCTATATAACGTAAGTAATACAAGCTCCAAGCTCCAATGTCATTAACATTAGCATAACCAATAGGCACAGTTATGTTGATACAACGGACTGCTGTTGCTACAATGTTTACCAAATGCACACAGCAACTTAATAACATTGCTGCTGTGGTCACAAACTCATCTCTTTAACAACCAGTGACAGCACGGCACACATGACTCTGTGCATACTCTGCCTCTGATTGGCTAGTACTTGCTGTTGTTTGTTGGTTTAGGTTAGTTATACTGTTTAGGGTTCGGATATTAGGGGCTAATAAACAACATGATATCGGATTGTACTCGTTGATAGCGGATCCTGCATTTTAGGAAGTATGGGAGGCATTTCTGATAATAGTATTAGAACAATTCTACATCCAAGAAGATAAGGGGGTACATGTATGTTTTTTGAGGAACACACTGTATGTGTAAGGTCTCTGTGTGTCAGAACAGTGTGTGCACGTATTGCTTTGTGGATAACAGAAGTAAAATGTGTTTGCAAGAGTTTGATCTGCATCTGAGGTGTAAAGATGTGAGTGAATAAAATGATTTTGCTCTGAACAGTCTTTCTCTGAAGATCTTAGCAGGCTCAGCTCACCTTGGGACGGATGTTCTCCAGCTCTCCATTCTGCAGCCTCCACAGCACATTACAGGTTGTGTCTCCTCCAATGCCAAAGTTGAGCGCATGAAGAGGAGAGAATAACTCCCTCCAGACCTGCGGACAGGACACCAGAAACCTGCATTTCATATGAGAATATACTAACCAACCACAGAACAATTAACTTACTGACACTGAAGCATGCCGATCAGAAACAAGACAGATTACAATATGTGAATAAATATAAAATAAACAAGGCAGATTACAATATATGTGAATAAATATAAAATAAACACACAAGTGACGATGTTGCTGCTATGTGAGCAGTCAAATGCTCAGGTGTGGAGTCTCACCTCAAACTGCTGCATTAGTTGCACCATAGAATCCCCCACAAAAAGCACGTCTGGTTCAGCATCCTTACACTCTTGCACAAATCTGGTGTGCTGTAAAAAACACAACCTTGTCACAACAGAGCATGTAGTCCATGAATGTGAGAGATAGGAGAGATAAATGTAAAAAATAACAAACAGACAAAAATATTATTTAATCTGTTCTATATTGTGCCTTTCAGTCTGAGTTAACGCCTTTGTGTTGTGAGTTTTCCAAACTTGTCATCCTTCCAAGTCAGACAAAATCCTGCTGAGCGTTCATCACACAACAACAGAGTCTGGTGCTCCATCTCATAGAGATTTTGGAATAAAGCAGACTGTCTCAGCCCAATTAGCTTTGGAAGATTAACCTTGCATAGACCTACTAGGAGGTGTTGAGCTCTGAAAGAAATACAAGTCTTGGGAATAGTTACAATGTATTTGTAACTAATATAATGAACACCACTCTTATCATTTAAGGCTAATATTATTGAGAATATCACAAAAACATCATCTCATCACATTGTGCAGATGCAGCTTGCATCCCTTCATTTTAAAATGTTTTGCTCACAACAATCAGTTCCACAAGATTACAGCATATTCCTGAACATCAATGAGAAGGAATCAAACGCAATATTAAATGTGTTATTGCTGCCTTATAAAATGTGTAGTAAATAGAGCGAGATTAACAAATAAAACAATTGAATAATAAAGACAAACAAACTGGGGTGGTTCACATGTCAGTAACTTGCATATACATACATACATACATACATACATACATACATACAAGCTTTAATGTGTACTACATATGGAATTTGAGGTTGGTGAGACAGAGTCATGATGGGATGCTGCCCTATGTTTATTTTTTAGAGCTTAATATATCGACACACATGATAAATCATGCAAGATTAAACATATGACAACCGATACACTAAAATAGTCTATCTGTGGTGCTTTTAACAATTCATAGAGAGAGTTTAAGACATGCATTTCCTTGCTGGCAAGTTTTTGTTTGCACTGCAGAATAAGATAAACCCTTTGAGGCTACAATAACGTAGATCCTCCAGCTGGTAAAATGCATTTAGCCTGCATACATAAGGAACAATGTTGTGTTTTCCACATGATGCATAGGGGTAAAGTGTGCTTCCTACACTGACAACAAATACCACCAACCTGTGACATCCACCGTCCATCTCCGTGTACATCCTCTACTGGCTGAGGCACTGCAGCTGGGTTCAGATCATCACCACTCATCCTACAGGAGACACCACCGCTTATTCACACATAGATTAAAAACAACAACACAGAGCTACAGAGAGACACACTTATTAAAGGTTGTTAGCTACAGCATATTGAGCAGAGCACCACCACCAGCTAGCAGGAAAACCATTGATGTGATGCAACAGCTTAACGTTTCAGGGGCAGACAGACTGGCCTAATACGGATGTAGGCTACTTTCGCTTTCAAGGAGGGTGCTTACGGATCAGAGAGCAGATCGCATTAAATCCTCTCGGTTACTGTTTATCTGACGTTAGCTTGTTAGCTACCTAGCCAGCTAATGACTGGAGACTGTTACGGCTGCATCTCTGTTGCTTAGCTAACGTTTCTGACACGCCCGTCGTTAATATGAACACAACCATAAAATCACTTTGTATTTTAAACTACAAGGCGGACTACCTGGCAGTGTGTCGGCCCCGTCACGTCTCGGCTCCCTCGGTTGAACTCTTTTGCCCCCAAACTTCACTGTCGTCGTCGCCGCCGTCGGGTGGTCGAGGCGGGGGATGCTCGCTAGCAACCGTTAGCTGACTCCAGCTAGACGAGACAACAAAAGGTGTGTCAACAAGACGACCTACAGAGAGCCTTTCAGGAGGAGAGCGCCCGGCGGCTGCCATTACACCTAACACCGTAGGAGGGCACTGCAGCGAGAGACGGGTCTTTGGGAATGCTTTACCCTCATGTTTGCCTGTCAGGCAGCCATTCCTGACACATTTCCAGACTCACACGGACGTACCTAACCCTAACCCGTCGGTAGTGTAACCACAAACACTGCTACCTTGTGTAAATTATAGTTGCTGTTGAGGGTTGAGAGGTTGATGAACAGCCGCTAGGTGCCTTTGCCTGAGAGGCATTACTATGGGGAAGGAAACACCCGTGAACAGCTGCTCCGCAATGACTCATGGGGGTTTTGAAAATGTGATTAAAAATTGAACAGCCAAACATTTGAGACTCCGAAAACAACGAACTTCTTCTCCGTCTGTTGTTGACTTCAGTGGGTGTCAGCTGGACGGGGAAACACCTCCGAGTGGAAGTGGCTCTTTTATATCGTTTATCTCATACAACGTACAACACCGCCGACATCGTTGCTGGGCGACATATTGTGACACGATGTCTCTCTTCCACTCGTGACACATCTCATCCGCGGCCAACGCTGATCCGCTGTGTCAGCTGATCGCAATGCATCATGGTCACGTAGGATCAAATGCTGCATTCCGGTACTGTGGGAAACACTGTAAATATCTTCCTACTGACATTGTACACAATAATGTAAACAATGTTTTAAAATACAACCAGAAGATGTATTTTGTATTATTTAAAATTATATATATTATGATTAATATTTATATTGTATATATATATATATAACAACCTTAAATTACAGTCTGCTACAGGCAACCTTCTGTTAATGTAGAATAAGCTTATGGCAACATCAGATTAATAACTTATATTAAACATGTTTAATAACATAACGTTGTTATGCTGCAGGTGCCTTTAAATCTGATTTTTAATAATACATTAACATCACAGGCAGATTTATGGGTTACAACCATTTGCAGCAGGTTTAGGTGCATTATCTAGAGCTGATATGTGTCATAGACTGATGTGTCCTATCTTACAGAGATCTGTGTTTTACAAAGTGGCTAATAAGACATAACATTCTTCACACCTTCCTTCAAATATGAGCTGAAATTTGAACTACTGAAAGTACAATAATAGGTTAAAAATCATAATAATAATAAATTTCATTTATAATACATTCTTCTAGGAAATCAAAGCTAGTAGCCTATAATTCATATAGATATATTAACAACACTCAACAATGAATCAAACATTAAAAGCAGTTCTGAAAAGGTTGGTTTTGATCAGTGATTTGAAGGTGGATGGATCAGTACAGTTCCAGAGGGAGGGAGCACGGTGCAGAAGGCTCTGTCTCCCCAGGTACGATGATTGGTCCTCAGTGCTGGAGACAGGAGGTTGGCATCAAGGAGAAGAAGAAGTAACCTTATAGGCTTAATGTTGCTCGATCCATTAGGAACTGCAAGACTCATTTTCACCAACAATATTTAGTTCCCCAAGTCTGCGGTGAAGAGCTGTTGGGAATCTTCCATTAATTTACTTCCTGTCAAGTGACTTTCAGGCAGCATATTTAATACCATACATTTGATGAGTCTGCTATTTCTTCTCCTGGGTGGATTCTCTGTGTCTGGTGAGTTACAACAACCTCTATCTTCCCTTAATGCAAAAACTCTTTCGCATTTATACGAAATTAGAAGTAGAGCCTGGGTTCAGGAATGTGAGTTTAATGCACTTTAGACAGATTTTTATCATTATACTTATAGCTACTGGATTTGCTCTTTTGCTCCATAACTACTTATGTTTTCATAGTCTACTGGAGACGGTAACAAAGCAGTTCAATGCACATTGTACAATTGAGTATCTGACAAAAACTGTGCCAGTAACAGGCCATTTTAAGCCACAATTTCAGAGTGTGCAAATAAAAAATGTACCCTCCACAGATCAATGTTATTCAGCATACACATGTCGTGTCCAGTTGACCCTCTGAACTCTACGTACTCACAATTATTAGCCAGTGACAAAAGGGGAGCATTAACTAAAATGCTGGCTTTGTTGCTTTATTCTCAAACTGCTGAGGTTGATTCACGTGGTTATACAGTATCTGACTTTAATAAGCCATAGGTTGAATCAGAGGAGATTTACAAGTTAAACCAGCTATTGTTCCCTAACTCTTTCTCCTATTTTTTTTCCTTTGCAGGTTGGAGCCTGTATGACTGCTTCATGACTGTGTTTGCAACAAAAATGTAGGCATTGGTACGATATAGTGTTACAAGTGGAGATGTACAACGACTGTAAACCTGACAGACGGATGAGTTGACTGCTGAACACTGGGTCACTTTTACTTGACTACTTACTAAATAAATATTCTGTTGGTATGAACTGTAAAGAGGTACAGATGTTTAAGGATTTTAATGTGGAAAGACCTTTTTTTTACAGAAAAAAACAGACCAGACACACATTACTGTTGCAAGTAGACTAGGTGTATGTCTTAATACACGTCTGAAGGGGATCTTTAAGTGATTCATACTTATGTTTTCAGTTTTTAGCAAATATCTCAGATCTTAAATATCAGTGTTGATACCTTGTAAGTGTATTTTTTTTGTTAAGCCTATATACTACTTTATGTAGTGGCGGTAATATTATAATAGTGATTATTATTATTTCCAGTATTTTCCATAGTACCTGAACCCAACACATGCAGTCGACCTTTGGCTTGCAGAGGACTGACTGATCGTTTTCCGACACGATACTGTGGCCACAAGAAGGCAGCAGTCAACACAGGACCCTTGTAATTAAACATCAACCGCAGACCTAATGCGCATGTGTGAAGCAACAAGTGCAGAGTGGCAGGTTGTATAGGAGGATAACAAGTTAAGCAAGAAGTGAACACCGCCCTACAGGTGTGTACGCAGGTTGACATTTCAGGAGGCTCTTTCACTGCCACAGTCTGCGGAGACATTTGTATTCCCGACTCCATTCAATAAGTGTACATGAAGGGACTTTTTACGGAGGATTTAACCCGCCGGAGTTGAGGCAGTATCAATGTTTTATCCCATGTATCGGATATGGCTTCTGCTTCTGCTGGGAGGATTCGCCGTGCCAGGTGAGTTTCAACTTCCTGGAGACATTAGGAGACTTTGTCTTGGTGAGAGATTTTCGGACTGTAATGAAGAGCCACTGCAGGGCACCTAGAAGAATAACAAAGTATGTAGAGAGCTTGTTTAATTTCACCTGAAGGCTTGTTCACCTTTAACACGAAGGCTCCTCTCCCCAGGGAGTGTAACCTGCTGCTCAGTGGCGTCAAACAGAGGCCTATAATGTATAATGTAGATTTATTAATAAACATAAAGATGTTATACATGTGTGGGACAGGTGTGGACTGTTTGAGGCTGTGGATTATATATTATATTGGATTGTTACACCACCATATATACGTAACATTATATCTTATTATTATATATGTTTCTTACTTCCTTGTATTGTTTATTTAAAATGTATCATCCAAAATTGGACTGAGAATATCAAAGAATCCCAAAAACATAAAATCAAAACAAAAAAACAAAACAAAGAAGGCATATATTGTTTTCTTAAATGTAATGTCTCAGTTAAATGTAACTAATACCCATTTCTCCACCCTAGGCTAGTGCTCAGTGATCTACTGATTGTATGTTCACTAGCAGCACCTGTCAGCTTTGCCAGCGGTTTGATAATCACCATTTAAAAGTTTAAAGTAATGCAATAGCTTGAATTCCTGCAGAATCAACCCAAAAGTTAAAGTCTCAGAAATCATGAAGGGTTTCATTTATAGCGAAAACTGGAAGACTAGTTTAGCAAAGAGGAAGTAGACCCTCCCCAGCACCAACTTAAAGCGATATTTTTTGAAAACTCTGCAGTCTGTGGTCTATGCAAATGACCAATGAGCTGAATCTACAACTTCGACAGTCTGAACATTATGAGCTACACAAAACTGGCATTTCTCTCAGGACTATAGTTTATGTAATTTCCACCCAGATGAGCAATCAAAGGATGCAGCCTGTGTGTGATGGTGAGTGTTATTCTGTGAGAGAACAGCTGTTAGATGTGTTGTTTATCAGCAAATGTCAACAAGTCAACAAATATATGAGTGTATTAGTGCAACTAGTATACACAGCACTTGTTTTTAGATGGATTTTGTTTGATTTTTGGGGGAAATTAATGAAAAAAGAAAAAAAGGAACAACTCATCACAACACATTCCTCAAAAAACCTGCAACTTGCACCACAAATCCAGATGTTCCAACAGATGCTATTGATCGGACTGTTGGAGATGCTTTAACAAAGGTCGATATTCAGTGTAATTTAGTGTAACTTCAGCAGTGGCATAAAGTATGTTGACGTTGAAGAAGACTTCCTTCTGTTGTGGTGGCAGGAGATTTAGTTTTGCTCAAACAGCCAGTTGTGAATATGAAGGAGCTGTTTGGACAGGCAAGCTTGAAAAAACGTGCCATAGTGGGTTGGACTACGGTACACTGCGCTCTCTCTCTCTGGGCTGGGATTCCAGATGAATTTATGACATTATGAGATTGTAGACTTTTACACTTGAAGCCATTCAGACGTAGAGCACCATGAGAGTGTCCCTGTAGACACTTGCTGTATGTCTGATAAGCAGTCTCCTGACGCCACAGCGGATAGATAACATGGAGCAGGCTTTGTAACACAAATAATCAGTCATAATGTCTCCAGTCTCTTTCCAGTAAAGGGGAGATATTAGGGAAGAACTTAAACTAAACTGAGGAGCTCAAACCTGTTATTATTTGCATGATTGACCTGCAAAGCTTTGTGAAAGTGTTTCAGGTCAGTTTTAACTGGAGAGTGAAAAAAGAGGAGGGATTAATAGGAAACAAAATAGACCAGATCGTATCATCAGAATGTAATTGGACAATTTCAACAGTTAATAATAATAATAAAAAATAGTTTTTATGGGCACTGATTGTATTTTATAAATTCTACTACCAGTTTTGATTCTGGTCTCATTCCTTCTTCAGTTCCTTCCTGATAAAGTTGTAGGCTGTTAAACAAGCTCTTGTAGGTTTTAGGATGATGATTTTATCTTATATCCTTCACAGTGTCTACAGGAAACCACACTAACATAATAATAATAAGAAAGAATAATTACTAAGAACATAGTTATTATATTACAGTACTTATAAAGCTTTATCTAGCTTTATTTGCATATTGCAGCTGTCCATATTGGGATTTTTATGGCTCCACTCTTAATAGAAACTGACGCAGATTTCCAAATCATAAGCAGTCATTTAATAAATAGATCAAAATGTCTGAAGTTGTTTTAGGGTGCTGCTTTGCTGCTCAGATCCCTCATTTCAGATTTATTGACATTTCTTTTACTTTTAAGTGTTGTGTTTTTTTATCCTTTTTTTATTGTCCAATGTCCTTAAGTAGAACTAGTAGATGATGGGTTCGTTTTTGATTTGGAAAGTCTTATCAGTTACATTGGAAAGCATTTACAGAGTTGCTTTAGGTTCTCACTGACCGTGGCTTACTGAATACTGTTATCCTGTTTAGTTTAATTTTCTTCTACTGTCATACATTTAATTTCTTCCCTCCGTGTTCGGGATTACAGAACATTCTTGGCTTCTTCTTTGCAGTTTATGGTCAGGAATGCTTTAATCCGTCTGCTCATCACTGTGATCCAAATTTACCTCTACTATTTCACTTTACCAGATCCCTGAAACTGTCGTATACTGAACCATGATTTCATGTAAAACATGATGGGAAAACTGTTCATTTTGGGGTCACCTATGAGAGAAATTATTGAACAAATGTTGAATAACAAACATCCAAACCTGCTCTTTTAAGTTAATAAGATATTTCCTGTGTTTTTCAAATACCTGTAAAGGCAGCGTCCATCTGATCTGTTGCACTTACACGTACACACGTAATGATTAACCCATAGTAGGCGTAGCAGATATTTGAATTATTTGCTCTCTTGTTTGCTGTACTGAAGTCAATTCATGTAGAAAATTAGGTCTTGCAGTCTCAAGCAGTGGATGTAGACGATTCTACATACACAGCTACAAACACTGAACACCACAGATCATCTGGGTCACTATGCTCTTTACTGTCAAGGACGTTTCTGTGTTAAATAAGCAGTGAGAACTACTTTTGGTGCGAACTGCTCGGCTCCTTGTTTGGGTGGATTAATGATTTGCTCTGAAACTGAGGGATGAAATAAGAGACATGGGCAGTTTGAACTGTAACTGTGCTGTGAATGAGTCAGATAGTGGAGCTGTTTGTAAAGTTATGTTAATGATGAGTATTCTTTCTCACTTGGTTGTTTTTATTACAGGGGTGCAACATGTCAGTGGAATAGAGATTTACACGTCAACTGAGCTGGAGGTGGTCAATGGGACTAATGTGAAACTGAAGTGCACCTTCAGTTCCGATAAACCAGTGTCGCTTCAGTCCGTCGTAGTGTCCTGGAACTTCCGTCCCATAAATTCAGGATCAGAAGAGTCGGTGTGTATATCTGTTGTATTTTTATGTTATTGTTAATGAAATCCAGTCATGATTTTTATAGGTGCCTAAAGTGTTAATTGATTTTAAGATAAATACCATATTTGGTTAATTTTCTCTCATAACAATAGCCATTCAATATATATATGACCTCTACCAACAGCTCTGTGTGCAACCTGCCAAATCTAACCTACAGGAGAAAATAAGAAATGATGCATTGCACTACATACACTGCCATAACATTATGACCACCTGGGCACCCTGGTTCAAATCCTCATGCTGCCCATTTTTCCTGCTTCTAACACATCAACTTTGAGGACAAAATTTTCACTTGCTGCCTGATATATCCCACCCACTGACAGGTGGCATGATAACCAGATAATCGGTGTTGTTCACTTCACCTCTCAGTGGTCACAATGTTATGGCTGGTCGGTGTATGTTAGCAGTAAGCTAATGGTGACACATAGAGTGCAGTACTTGAAGTCTTTTTTACAACATGCTATGCATATTTCCTGGTAGCTGAGATATGAATGGCATGAATCTAATATGATATTGTGGCTCTTGCTGGCTATTAAACTTATATACAACACCTGGCAGCTGAATTGTGTCCATTCTGAGAGTAATATTTGAATGAGTAAGTTGCTCAGGAAATGTTCTTCAAAGGCAGTGGCTGAAGTCGCCACAGCAGCTGGGAATTTTTTCATACTTGCTAATTTGTTTGGACTCATAAACTATTGCTTTATTGTGTGTGTTTGTGTCAGGTGTTTTTCTACCAGGAGGTACCATACCCTCCCGAGCAAGGGCGATTTAAAGACCATGCGGTGTGGTCGGGAGATGTTTTGAAACGCGACGTCTCCATCACCCTGCATGAGGTGCTTCCGACCTTTAATGGCACCTACATCTGCCAGGTGCGCAACCGCCCAGATGTGCACGGCAGTAATGGAGAGATCGTCCTCAGAGTCGTCAACAAAGGTTAGACTGCCAGCGCTGCTTCACCTTTCTATAGCATCAAATGTTCTACAGCAATGTTGGAGGAGCTTTTATTATATTTCTGCTTTTCAGTCACTATCGTCAAGGTTTTCATCAAGAGAACTTAAGCAAGTGGAATGCCTGCAACATGAAGTGAAGGACAGTGTGTTTAATCAGGGACACTGCTTTATTTTTTATTCTGATGGTATCTCTGTTTTGTTCCCCAACTGCCAGCAATCAGTTTCCATCACTGTTATCACTAATTCTAGGTCTTGTTGCTTCTAGTGTCCCTCTCTGAGATCGGGATCTTGGCAGCGGCCGTTGGTGGCGCCTGTGCTGTAATTTTGATCCTCCTTGGTATCTTTGTGGCGATTAAGTTCTACATGAGAAAAAACCGGGGAAATGACATTGAGCTGCACCCACACGAGCACCAGCGGAAGGACCCGACCGTGTGGTGAGGGCCAGAGGGCCGGAGTTCCTTTGCTCCTCTTCTTCTTGGGACTGGTGTGGATGCTGTTTGGGTCCACTCTGCTGAAAAAGAGAAATGAAAGTTAAGGGCAGGAAGGCATCTTTTTCTTCCATATTTGCTCCTCCAATGTGAACCTCTGAGATTGACTTGTAGTTTTTTTTCACTTCAGTATTAGATATGTAATGTACCACTTCCCCCATTTGTTGTAAATCTTTATACACTTTTATATGTTTTTACCAAAAGTGATTGTAATTACTAACTATAAAGAGAGTAGGAGATGTAAATATGGAGGGATTTTTACTACTAACTAAATGCTGTTCTTCAGTTCACAGCAGCAGTGCTGACTGCAACCATTAGGCTGTATTCTTCCCTGTTGATGTGCTCTTTTATCATATAACCAGTTAATGCTTTGACTGAATCACCACTTTAAACATATTGTTGATTATATCCCTAAAGAGCACAACATACAGGAGACTGCTCCTGTGAATTGAGTTATATCCTCTCTATCGCCTTTTAAAAAATAAGAGGAACTTTTTCTGAGCAGCTGCATTAACCTGCTTCTTCTGCTTCACAATATGTGCCACGGTAATTTTTGAAATACAGGTGAAATGTTTTACAAATGCAGAGGTCTTAAACCCAGAGAACCTTGAACTGGCTTTGGTGGAGAAATGTTCACGAACTGATGTTTTGGTCATCTTTCTCAATGGAAGGAAGCAGTACATGAATTTTCTGTGGTACTCTGTGGCTGGGTTCGTTTCAAGCTGAGGATTCTGGGTATTGTATTGTTTAATCTCTGTTTTGCTAAGGCGAACCATTGCGTCCCTCTTGTTTATTTGCTAGACTTTACATTTGGCCGTATGTCCACTGAATAGCCTGTCTCATTGTTGACGTGTGTGTGTGTGTGTGTGTGTGTGTGTTTATACGTGCATGTTGCATGTTGCATGTTGCGTGTGTGATTGGATTTGTTTTGCGGGATTGCTTCAGTTTACCTGAAGAGGCAGTTCATCTGAAAGTTGTGACGGTGGAGAAAGAAGTTGATAGTTCAGATGATGAGGAGTCTGAAGCCAGCAGCGGAGATGATGAGGAAGAGGAAGGCCTAGAAGATGATGATGATGATGATGATGATGATGAGGACGACGACGATGGCGATGATGACTAAATAGAGAAGTTTAGTTTAGTTTATTGATTAGAATTGCCTTTCCCTTTATGACATCAACCTTTTTGCTATTCAATAACATGATTGAATGTTTAGATGTAATATATTGTATTTTTTCAGTGCATTATGGTCACTGAATTACATTAATACAAAAAGTTAAGACTATTGCACCAATTTAGCATTACACTCCTACTGTATAACATACTTACAATGGATTTATTTTTTTAAAAGCATCAAAATAGAAGGAGCAGAACCAAAGATGTTCCTTATCAACACCAGGTGCCTACATTACCCACAACACGCAATGCTAGTAGGTTAATGTAGCTTAGAGCCTTAAGCAGAGACGTGGAGCGGGGCTACAGGTCTGTTAACTCCACACTCTCAGATTTCTTTTCATTCATTTTTAAACTTGTTGTCTTCAGCCCCAACCCACGCTGACCCAAGTGACATCACTTAAGGCAGTTCATCAGCCTTCCTCCCTCTGGAGCCACAAAAGGCTTTATACAACTTTTTTACACAAATGCAGCAGTAGTCCCCAAGACCTGTAAACAGATTTTGACGAAACAGGTGGAGTCTGTGCGTTTGATGAATGCGGACTGATAGTTGTGAGTCTGGTCTGTCGTACGTGGCCTCTAACTTTTTTTCTTTGTGCTAATTTGATTGGATTTCCATACAGCTGCTGCTAGAACTCTGTTGGCTTAGATCAATGTTGTGAAAATCATGAATTTTCATGTTGGATAAATGGAATATAGATTTTTAAAGAGATGATTCGGTTTAATTTGGCTCTTTGTTAAAAGCACCCCATACCAGTGTAGACAGTGTTTGCGTAGCTGTGGTGTTGCCAGATTAAATGTTTTTCCTGTTTAGTTTCTAAAGGCATCAACAGAGAGTAGAATTTTAAGTAAGAAACAGCATTTAACTGCGTCATTCTGTGTGTTTGCAGTCACTTTTGAATGCTGCTGGAAATGAAACAGCACAGGGTGCTGTCATTTAATTTTTGCTTCCAGAGATTCTGATCAAAGTGTGTTTTTACCACAATGCCAACATTGCACAAGTGATTTTGTATTTTGATTCTGTATATAGTGTAAAATAAATAGAACTTTACACTTTTTATAACTCTTGTCCTGAAATGTTGTCATATGTATCTCTATTCAGCTACTCTGGAATAAAGAACTGTTTTTGAAATTATTAAGTAGCATGAAGTTTATTTTTATAATAAAAAAAAGGTTCTGTGTGTGGGAGCAGATCGGCTCTTGAGGTGAACAGATTGGGTGGGTGAGTGTGAAATACCAACCATGTGCCACTCCTCTTGATGTCATACATGTCATAACAATAAGTTACAGTCACACTGCCCGGCCTTAGAACAGCAGTTTGTCTTTCCTATGGAGCTGCCCATGTCTTGAAATGAGTTTATTTATATTGGAAACAGGTTTAAAGAATCTCACTGGGACACTTTCATTGTTTTATTTTTTCAGGGTTAGTTAACATCTCCTGAACAATCACGAGAATGCTTCACATTACAACTCATTGGAAAAATTGAGAGTTCTCTTCCAGGGGAGTGATTGGAGCATAAAGTCATAAAAACAACCAAAGAGGCATGCAGGACACATCACCCCCTGGTGGTATCATTAACTCAGTTTTTCCTTAATCCTTAAATGGAAGTATTTTTTTTTTCCTGTTGACTTTAAACACAATCCCTGCTATCATATATGTCCTTTTAAAAGTGAAGATAAACAAAACTGTGTGTTTAACAGAGCAGTTATTGAATTGGGTGGAGAGGGACTCTAAACTGGGACATGTGGTAACCTGTCTGACTCTTTTCCTCGGCACATATGGAAGGAAGACTTGCTGAACAGGTTCTTTGTATGAATGCTAATTGCTGTTAACAGATGCATTTCCAAGGAATTTGACATCAAATCATCAAATCTAAGACCTAATTAACTTTTTAAGGAAAGCATCAACAAGAGGAAGGAACTGTTAATGATAGGTAAGAAATACAACTCTATGGTCACAATCAATTTAAAGCTTGTTCAGCACATAGAGTAGGAACTCTATGTACTGTAACAATTGCTGAATAACAAATATTTACCTTGAGTTTACCAAGTTTAGTCATTTATCTGATAGCAGTAGTTACTAGTTACCTCTCAGTTTAAGATTTCACTTTATAAAGTTTATAAAATACAACACATTGTTATGGATTTAAACCAGTGGTATTCAATCTTTTTAGCTTATGAATCCTCACAAAATAGCAAAGTCTAGTTTTGGTTTCTTGTCACATTAGTTCTAGCAAACTGATTTCCCTTCTAAACTCCTCAGGTGCCATTTGAACCTGCAATAACTGATCTCTCTGGCCAGGGGGCAGCAGAACCAACACCACTGATATATTGTCAGCTTTAACAATTGAAATGGCGAGCTTGTTAGCGAACAGTTGCTTTTTTACACATCCAGCAGCTGTGGAGCAACATTATCATTTATTTGGAGGGTTTTTGTCACCTGGCGAATGTAAGTCTGACATTCACTCTCTTTTAGCTCTGATTTTGGTCTCTACCAATTCCTGGGAAATATCTGTTAATTTGTAGTCACAGTTTGAGCCTCTCGTGTTACAGGCATTCTGGGTTTTTCAGGTTTAAAAAAAAACAAAAAACAACACTAAGTATCTTTTAAAGAAACCGATCTACCTCTGTGACCTGAATATGCTAATTCACGAGGCACAAACTGGGGCTAGCTCTTTAGCTGCTAACTGAACTGTGGGTATTAACGGACCAGAATAAAAGTTTAAACAGAAAATATTATTGACAAGATTTAAGTTGCACATTAGCAATTAACATTTGTTAATGTCCCATAAGGTTTGCACTGAGAAGAGTCGGGTCCAGGAAGTGCTGATGTCACATATGGCACTTAGGACCCCCAGATTTATCTTGGGACCCTTGCCAGTGGGGCCAACCCATAGGTTGGGAATCACTTAACTGTAGAACTAAACTACCTAACAGTATATAAAGTACAGTTGTTACTGTAAATTGCTATGTATTGATGCATCAGTATTGGTCACAGACACCACATTTTCCTTTTTATTCTAAAACATTTTTGCTATAGTCTGTACATCTACATAGGTAATGTTTGGAATGCGGGACTTTTACTTGTAATAATAGTAAACAGTATTTTTGCAGTGTTGTACTGTTAATTTTACTTAAAAGGTCTTCCCACACTTCATTGTGTGAGTGCTTGTGTTGCTCCCACTCCCTACATGTGTACAGTAAGTGCTGAGACATATGTCCTTGTCTCTTTACTTTGGAGCAGCACACGTTTTGCTGCAGTAAGAGCAAATGTCACCTACATGTCATCTATGAATAGTAACACAGGCCACAATCATGAATATCTGTACAGTACATATAATGTGGTTATGTTTGTGAGTGTGACTGTCCATGGGCACTCTGTGTGGTTAGTCCTGCACAGGTCTGCAGTAGCACCCTGTCTTTATGCAGCAAAATGCTGTTTTTTTTTTTTTTTTTCTTATTGCAGTTCTGGAAGAGTTCCCACTGCTGCTGCATTGATACTCCAGTGGAGGGGCCTGGAGAGGAGAGCAGTGAGCCTGCAGCCCGGCTACATTACATTACCACTAAGAGCTCCACACCCATCAGACCACCCTGTATATGCTCATTATGGAGACCTGAACCAGATTGGTTTGTAATCCTCTGGCTAATTTATTTTCAGGCCCTGCAGGTTGTAGTTGGATACAGTTTCGTACTGTTTAATCAAACACAGTGTGGATTAACTATGTTCACTCAACATCCTGTGACACACATTAGATTTTAATTTGGATATTGCTGCTGTGTTTAAATAGAGTTGTCAGGACCATCTTCCCCGTTCAGCTCTACTAAATCCTACCTGTATCAGATACAGTATGTTATATATTGAATGTAAGAGCTGACATCTGACATACACAAGAAAAATAATTAGTATTGTAAACTTTGCATGAGCTACTAAAGAACAAAGATTCCTTCCTAGTGTCTGCATATGCACATCATACCTGCTCAATGAATAATAGATCACGGTGTTAAGTACTTTCAAACTAAGTAAAGTACAATATACGCTTACTTGGCAGATACCGGGATCTGTCTTTTGTTTAATCTAAATTTCACTTACAGCCCTTCAGAGTTGCAAACTTTAACTTACCTTATTCTCTTGTAAAATAAATACCAGTTTTGTAAGCAGAGAAAAACAAGCCGGAGGTGAAGTCCAACATTGATGTGTAGCTGTCCTCTTGTCCTCTGCCTGCGTAACTGTACCTTGGCTCAGATGGCACACTGTGTCACATGATTTCAGTTGCATCCCTGTTAGCACTTAAAATTCTCCTTTGATCCAGTGTGAAACTCTTATTAACCTCTTACCAACCCCTTTTTTGTGACAAACTGATGATAATAATCCATTATTGCTGCACGGTCACCTTCTATTTACAGTAATGGATTGAAATCTGAAAACTGTGAGCTCAGCACTTCTTCTGTCATGTCCTGCAGTGAATAGTGCAGACACATGATGATGGTCGGCTGCTGTTGACTGATGCGCTTGTACATTTATGGGAAAGGAGCCATCCCGTTGAAAAATGACTGCACACATCCCCTCATATCACAATGCATTTGCAGCTGCATCACACTGATCACAAGAGAGTAATGAACGCCTCATGATATACAAGATAGTTTGACCTTCTAGGCATTGAATGGGACACACATGCACACATCAGCAGCGACTGTGGATGTTAATTATCCTGAGCCAGGGTAATGTGAGTCCCGGCAGGAGCCTGCCTTTCAGGAAAAGAGGAGAGGAGAGGGAGCTCTGTCAATCTCGGGATGGATAAGTAGTGAAAGGAAATAGAAAATAAAACGTGAAAAGCTCTCAAAGTCACATTGTAAAATCAGACCTAAGTAGAATAGAGAGTAATTACTGCACTGTTTTCCCCTCTCGCTTGTAATTCTGTAATGTAGAGTTTTGGTGCCTTAAAGGTGACGTTATCAGTGACAGGACATGTCTATTTATGAATGGAGCATTTTGATATGGGACTGTGTGTCTAGCCCGGCCCTGGGGCTGCATTACACAACCACCTCCTCAACCTGCACTGCAGAACTTTTCTCTGATCTTCACAAACACTCTGACAAAAGTGCCTGAGTCTGCATACACGCCCCGAGTCAGGAGATGGGGAGGAGGGGGAAGGAGGGAGGGGAGCAGAGAGAGTGCGAGAGGGAGAGAGAGAGTGAGAGAGAGAGAGAGAGAGAGAGAGAGAGAGAGAGAGAGAGAGAAGGAGCGAATGAAGGGTGATGGAGGAGAGAAAAAGAATATGAGGGATATTGGGGCAGGTAAGGGAGGGGAGACAGAGAGATGAGGGGGGAGAAAGAGAGAGAGAGAGAGAGAGAGAGAGAGAGAGAGAGGTGGCATGCAGCCAGCGGAGAGGACAGGGAAAAGTTGTGAGATAGCCAGAGGGACGGGAAGGGAGAAGAGTCAGCTTCATCGGGGCTCTGCTGATGCTGAAGAGGAATGAGAGCAGCGGCTGTTCCTCCTGTCCGCCTGTCTCTCTACATCTCTGTCTGTCTTTCTGTTTGTCTCCCCCTCTCCTCTCTAATTGTCTCTCATCCTGGCTGGCGCTGCAATGTGGCTGTCTCTGCAGTGAAAGTGCTAGCTGGCGGATTCTCCTTGAGTGAACCCTGACTGTGCGCAGTGAGCGTTTGCCGCTCCACTACTGTCCTGTCCACACTGACTCAGCTGTGCTACCGGCCTCTGAGTGAACACCAGCTGCAGGGAGCAGGTAGGCATGACACAACTTGAACTGTACTGATCATGTTTTCATGTTTTTTTCTTTCAGCTTTACCCCTTTTACATTCAGGCAATGAGATACAGTATGCGTATGTAGACACATGTATGCAGAAAACATGCGAACACACACTATATCTGTAGAAAAACTTTTTACTGTGCTTTTACAGTGACTCTATGTCATATTTTAAGATTTCAGTTGATTAACTTTTTCCTTCTTACCCTCTCTCTCTGTTTCTTTCCTCTCCTCCTCCTCCTCTTCCTCCTCTTCCTCTGCCCTCTGTCTAACCTACAGTCTCTTCCACAGTAGTGCTGTGGGGGCTGGCAGGCAGGCTCACCACCGGGACTTCTGTCGGTGCAACATTGGGACGTGCCTCGCATTGGGGTCCAGAGACACCCAGACAGGCTACCAGATTTAATCCGATATACCAGAGAGGCTGAGTTGTGCTAAAGGATATTCTACTATCTTACTGGATCCTGCAGCAGTATTTGTTTTGGAGCACATCTGGCTGCCATGGAGGTCCAGTGGGTTGGGGTTGAACCCCCGAGGCTGGGCCCTCCACACACAGCCGTTCGCCTGATACTCTCTATGCTGCTTGGTAATGTCTATCTCTCTTTTTCATGTCACCTGCCTTTATTGGCACCATGATCATTATACCACAGCTGATCTGCACAGTTCCTCCTGTTCTCTCTTTTTCATATTTGTTTTTTTTCTCACTCCTTATTGAATACCAAAAGCTTGTGCTAATATCATTGTGTATTTGTGTTGTTATGCAGAGCAATGGTCCTGTGGCTTTTAAAATCTGACATTGACCTTCATCTGCTATTGACCTACGCAGGTGTTCGCTGCAATTGTATTTACGTTGCCACAACACTAGGTTTTGAAGAAGGATTTTGCTTTGGTGACAGGACTAGTTTGCTTGTTTTTCTGGAGGTTGCGTGTTTCATCTCGTGACCAAAATGTGCTGCTGGTTTTGCCTGGAAACACAGAAAGGCTATGTTTTTGGTTGTAGTTCCAAAATAACGAGTTAGTTTGGAGTCTTTGGAGAAATGAATGAGAATTGTTGCTGGAATCAAACAGCTTGGTGATATCCATGGTCCATACTGGTTTGGATTGGGATTGTATGTCCTCTAAAGGGAATGTCAGCAGAATAAAGTGGGTCTTGTGATGGAAAAGCTGTGTCAGACTATAAGCAGTCTTGATGAGGCCCTGCCGTTCACAGCATATTGTGCAAGATGTGTATCTGCAGTAATAGAGCAGTGGCGTCAGTCACGCCAGTGTCCAGTAAACCATCAAGATATTGACAATGAATATTTCTGCAGTGGCTGTATAGTAAAACAGCAGTAGGTATCCAGAGCTAACATTGTTGTCTCAAGTAAATTCACACTTAGATCTGAGACTGACGGGGCTGATAGACTCTTACCAAATGGGTTTTTGTGCATTGGACATAGAGTATCAGGTGTGGATATTGGATTCTGTTTTCCTGAGACAACAGCCAACCAGACATCTTCAATTAAGTGTTTCCTTAACCTCTTTGAAGAAATGCACAGAAAATCCATCCCATTAGAATCAGATTTCAGTCATAGTTGACACTTATACTGTGTATCCTGCATTTATTCGGCATTAACCATTATTTGACAGAAAAAACACCAGTCAGTATGTCTAATACTCTCTTCCAGCATTGTTCCTAGATGCATTACTTACAGTATACAATTAGGATGTTCTAAATCTACTAATGGGTGTGGAGCGTCAGTGCAGCCATAGTGCAACAGACACGCATTAAAAAGTTAAACCTCTATGAGACCAGGGTCTGTGGCATTATGTGTAGGAGCTGTAGGCTCTAAAATGATCTTCCTAGTCTAATAAAGTAAATTAAATTGATTATTTTCAATACATTTTAAATATTCATGATTCCTCCCTCCCTCCCATATACATCCCTGAACTGACTTGTCACTGGAATTGTGTTGCCAGGTAAACCCGTGAATGTTTTTTTGTTGTTGATTTTTTTCAGAACATGAATAATTTCTCACTCACAGGTGTTGTCTTTATTTAGAATGAACAACAAACATTTTGGCCACCTATAACAGAAAACTGCACGGTTGACTTAATCAGCAGATGCAGGTGGCAAAGAAGCAGAGAGAAAGATGCTACAGCAGATGCAAAGCGTCTTAGCATTGTCATTATATTGTAGATAACCCATCATATTGTATAATGCACTATGAGGTGGATAAGAAGGTCCTTTTTGTACATTACACTTGCAGTGGACAAGGTGTGGACCCGAGTTAGACATAAAAATAAAAAAAGCCTTGCAACTCTACTTGGACTTCATCACAAGTGACTCTTTATTTCACCTGAGCCTTTTGACTTGAAAATACTGGATATCTTCCCCCAAGGCCAAATATGTTAGTAAGTATGTAATTGAAATGCCACCAATAAATTCACTTTCCTGAATCAGCTAAGATTTTTTATTCCCAGGAAGTAGATACCTAATTCAGAGAGAGAACCCTGAAGAACTAACGTTACCCCACGTTTTACCAAAGATCATTTGTTGTTTAAATAGCATTACTTTTGGTGGAGAGTGCACTATGACTTGTGTACGACTTTAAGGGTTTAGGACTTGCGACTTGACTTGGGTCTAACGCTACCCCTGGGCCCACCTCTCCAGGGAACCGACTGGTTAGTTTGTGTGTACAATGGGAAGTCAGGGTCAAACGTCTTGAAGTATTAAAGCTAGATATGGAAGAGTGAAATAATGACACTAAAGTAGGTTTATATCTGTGAAATAAGCTATTCTTATGTCTCCAATAATGGCTGTTAATGTTCAAAGTGTGCAGAATTATGTTCCACTTTAAGAGATATCTTGTGCTGTTTTTTGATATCCCAACCATTCAATTATCCATTCTTATGTACTCACATCATTGACCTCTAATGAATAAGATACATTCTTGTCCATTCTTCACCTTAAAATTACAGTCTTAACATTTAGTACCTTTTGTGGGAGGTCATCCTTTGAATTTCATAATAGATATCGGCCAATATGAGCTTATTGCAGATAGATATGTATTGGTGTAAATGTCAACTGATAAGCAACAATTTTAAAACAGTGTCACCATGACATAGTTTATCCACCAGAGAGCACTGACAGATATCAGTATTGTTCATTATGTGTTTATTATCTATCCACACAGTATATCATTATCAACCTCCTAAATATCAAGTTTAGTATCAGCCTCAAGCATCCAGGTTGGTCAACAGTTTTCTGCAATTTGGATATACTACATACTCAAATGATGTGGAGAGCATATATTTGTGTATTCATCAAAAAACTATTGTTCTGACGTTGACATATATAGGCTAGAAACTGGAGCATCACTGTTCTACTTTTAACCGAAGCACCAAAACTTTACCTTGCAAAACAAAACTTTAATTGGAAACCTCAACAAGAAGTGCAGTAGAGAAACAATGGGCAGTAGGCTACAGATTTAAGAGAGAGTGATGTGTGATGAAATTGGTCTCTTGTCAGCAGCTTCAGTATCTGCAGTGATACAAACAGGCTACAGGAAACAAAGATTTTAAGGACACACTGTTGGACACAAAATACAATCCAAAAATATTTCCTGAGTGACACTGAAAAATATGAATGAGGAATGAGGCAGGAGGGGTAATGCTGTTGCTCTCTCGTCACTGTTTGTATTACTGTTTTTGCAAGCTCACTGTGCTGCATTGGAACAGCTTAGGAAAAGATTGGAGGGAGTGAGTTAGCGAGATAGAAAGAGTGAGATGAGACAGAATCAATAACATTCCCACATACAGTATACCCTCCTTTCCTGTGTTAAGCTGTATCTGCTGTTCCTACCAATGTTATTCCTATTCGCTGCAGTGGGGCTTGTCAGACGTTGACCTTGACCATTTTATGAGCAAAGCGTAACACAGTGTGCACGAAACAGAGGGCGGAAATCAGAGGAATGTTAGAAACTGTGCAGAAAATGTTACAGCTGCAACCACTGATCACACTGGTGTGCTAGCGTTATGTTTTCTCTCTATAACCTCTGCATCTGTGTACTAGTTCTGCATAGCACCTCGAGAGCATGTAGTTTACACCTCACACACTAGATGGAAGCATTAAGCATAAGGTGCTTTAATGGTGTAAAAGAGGGCTAAATAGTCTAGAATGGATGAGGAAAAAGGAAACGACAACCAACAAAAAAGATGTGCCAGTTTATTGACCCACCTGCTTAGAATGGTGAAAGTAAGATTTAAGCTTCCTCATGCTATCTGACTGTAGTCCCTGGTACACAGTTACAGTTTCCACAAGGGGCACAGCAGATGTTCTCCTCTCTTATTTACAGTAATGTCACAGCAAGGACTTTGCAGTGTCATGTTTCTGATGTCAAGCCAATAATAGACAGATTATGTGTGTTATAATGTGTTCTTAAAATCATGAAAATTAAACCTAAATGGTAGATTGGATAAATACTCTAAAATGTATGCCCATTAGGGTGTTGGGTCATTTAATTGCATAAATCATGCATTGCATTTTACTGCACATTAGTGAAAGTGCCAAAAAATGTGCCAGTACTTTTATTCAGCACAACCATAACCCTAATTGTTTTATTGTTTTTTTATCCTTTTTAACAAGGACACTTTTTGTTAAGCTAGCTGTGTGTTTACAGAGTCTGAATTTTTTCATTTGGACTATTTTCAATTGCAACTATTGTGCAGGGAACTGGGAATGACTTATGTACAATATATTGCAAAGAAATATAGGAAACGACCAAGAAATACTCCAACATCTGTAAAACTTCATCTTTCTTTTAATTTTTGATGAAGACTTTGTGAACTTTGGACTACACCAGGTTAGCTGTTTCCAGTCTGTTTGTGAAGCTAAGCTAACCAGCCACTGACTGTAGGTGTATCTTAAACAGACACACAGAACATTTTCTCCCTGTAAGAAAACCAAAATGCTGAACGACTGTTTTAAAACGGACCGGCTGATTTTGTGTTCGCACAATACTGCTGCACCGTAAAGCTGATTCTTGTACTTTTTTCTATTCTCCTTCCTCCACAGGCATCTGGTCTGCTCAAGCCCTTGAGATGTCTGTTGGGAAGATTCCCTTCCTGGAGGCAGTGAATGGCAGCACAGTCATGTTGCCTTGTACATACTCCAGTTGTATCGGCATCAAAAACCTCTACTTCAACTGGCAATTCAATGACAATGGCACCATGCAGAAGGTAAGACCCTTCTGTTTGAGAGAAAGATTGATGTTCAGGTTTTGGTTGTAAGTGGTCGTTTTAGGTGACCGACAGCTTGTTGGTCCTTTCAGGTGTGTGAGTCAGTGATAGCGACAGAGGGGATAGAGCCAAAGGTGAGTATATATCGAGACCGGGTGGAGTTTGTGGGGAAAAACCATCACAACAACATCTCCATCGTGCTGTGGAACATCACCTTCGAGGACGGAGGCCAGTACACTTGTTTTGGACGCAACCCCAAGGAGAAGGGCAAGAACCACAGTGCCATCTTCAACCTCATTGTGGTGGACGAGTGTGAGTGGTCAGGGTCTGTAAGGGAGGGGTCTGATAAGTCTGCAGAAAAATTTCTCTAAATAATGTGAATTTAATTTATGGCAGATTTCTCTTCTTGTGCATCTATTATATTAGTTTTTCTCTAACAAGTCAGGTTTGGTCCTCCAAACACACACATACGCACAGTCCAGAATCCTACTTTATAACTAAAATAAGCATTTTTGTTTTTAAGCTTAAGCTTATTCATCACTTTAATTGGTCTTCAATGTTTTTTTGAAAAGAAGGAAAAGTGTCATATCACATCTTGCTTGCACATTAAACCTTAAATTAGTCTCTCCTCTGAAGTGGAACAACATCACAGTTTCTTATAGCTGCTGGTGGAAACTTTGGATAAATGAGCGAAACAATTCTACCACCAACCCACATAGATGTTTTCTCCGCACTGATAGCTGACAGGGTATAAAAGAAATTCACCACATATTACTAAAATGGTTCTGGGAGAGTGCCAGTAGTAGCTTTAAAAGTCTAAAAATGTCACAAGAGAAAAGCTCTGCGTTATTCTTTGCCCATTTTAAATCTATGTTTTGGTGTGTCGGGCATATAGGAGAACTAATCTCTTGTGGAGGTACCAACTTATTATCACTGGAAAGCACTGTAACAGCACAAAAGGCAGCCAGCGCTCTCTCAGCAATGTTAATTTTCCAGAACCTTTCCTGAAACAGTTTCTGTGTAGATGTGGTTTCCCATCATCATTCCTCTACTCTTTTGTTCGCGTATACAGTGAGGGTGGTGGACAACACACTGGCTACCATCATAGCCTCAGCTGTGGGTGGAGCCATTGCAGCAATAATGGGCTTCATGTTGCTCAAGAACTTCACTCTCTTTGTTCTTTCCAAGCTTGAGGAGAAAAAGTGAGTTTTCACAACCACCTGGATATTTATCAGCAATGCAACCATTAATTTCCTTTCATCGGAGTACATTGTTGGTACATGTCTGGATATCTCAGATACTCTGCATGCTGAGGTAGATTTTAAATGAAGTTCAACATGTGTTTTTCGAGCTGCTTCGTGTGTACAGTTCTAACTTTGTATTTTTTCCTCCAACCCCACTGCAGTAAGGAGTGCCTTGTAACTTCATCAGGGATCGACAACACAGAAAATGGCCTCTCAGGATCCAAAGCTGATTCAAAACCAACACCAAAAAAGAAATGAGAAAGTGCATGTATATATAACCATATGAGTACTATTATATTTATGTACTTTCTTTGCATATATTTGTATATGCACAGGTGTTTGCACACATGCAAATTCATTATGTTGGGATCCTAAAAACTCGGCCTGGCTGTGGCCTTCAAAGGGGAATGTACACATGAGCACACAATGCTTCCACAGGTACATGGACTAATAATTGTGCAGATGATATACAACCAAGGAATGTGCTAATCACGAGCTCACACGTTATATATTTGAAATGTGCACACAGTTTAATAATTTACATCTAAGGATAATTGCACCTACCAGAGACACTTTATACAGTTATTTTATATATATATATATATATCCTTTCTCCCATATATCTACCTCCTTTGTCAACATTGGTCAACACATTACCATCTTTGTTTTTGGCTGAAGGGAGCTGACTGTCTGATAGCGGGTAAATATTTGACAAGGAAAGCTACCGTCCATACAATTGGAAAAAAAAATGTTCCCAAGTTGTCTCTGGTTAGACTGTGAGACTGACAGTTCATTACAGACAGTGGAAGAAAACACAAGGCTCTGGCAACACTCACTAAAAAAGAAATAATACTGGAAACTATGAGGTTTAATTCAACTGGTCGATTCCTTGCTGTATCATATACACATATGCATTTTGTGTGAGATTTGTTACTTTGTTATTTTGAGTACACCATGGAGCACCCAGAAAAGGCACAGTAATAAATCTGAGGAAAGACCCAATTTAAAATGCTGTTCGGACACACAGGGGGCTGCTCATCTTGCTGGCACAAGTCGTGTGTTTATACGCAGAGAGTATAAACTAGTTTCACTAAGCTCAACCAGTGTCTCTGGTTGCTGTTTTTTAACTCGTTAGATTAAAGCCAAATTGTGTGCGCATTATATTACATTATGGGGATGTTTGTGTGAATTTGTATGAGCACATTATTTAACTGTGTGTGTGTGTGTGGGTTACTCACAAATATTTATAAAACTGTTGTATGTCATCTTGCACAGTCGGGCACTTTGAAGTGCTTTGTTGCCATGATATATCAATAATTGTCTGTGGCCACAGCCAGAGCACATAAAAAAAAGAAACTTTGACTGTTTTTCATCTGAAGTCAGAACAAAAATACTTTTTTATTTAAGTGCTTGAGACAGGGAATAACGCAATGTAGTTACAGCTGGGCTGAATCCATCTTTAGCTAACACCAAATTCACAGTAGCTCTTTGAGAATATGATCAAATACATCCAAATCAATTGATTTTGAAATTGCAGTGTTGGCCTATAATTTCTCACAAATCTACTGATAACTTTATAGCTACTTTCCACTAGAGTATGTTGTCTGATTTATTCAAACATTCAAGCTTTAAGTAGTACTAACACAAATGGTATTGCCAGAATATTATAGGATTCAGCCCAGCTCTTCATCCTGTACCTTCTCTTTGCTTGATATAAAACACAGGTGCCTGTTAGTGCTTCTATGCTCCTTTGCCAGCGAGGACAACTACATATTGCAAAACAGTTTATAAAACCAAGCAAACAGTAATAGTACAACAAGCGCCTGAGCTGAAATGATAGACAATCCCCTGAAACAACCCCCGCCCCCCCTTAGAAAATGAATGACCCTCTGGTGATGCTGCTTTTAAGACAAATTACCAATGCATTTTAAGCATGTGCAACATGGGCCAGATTTTAAACACAATGCTAGATAACAGAAATACATACTTTTTGGAAAAACTTGTTCCAATATACTAACACTGGTAGCATCAGCACTGAGGTTAATTGTAAATCCCATTTTATGCCATGCTTATTTCATTGTGCTAACCCTGGCTAAAGCTAAGCACTATTTGGTGACGTGGCCCTGGATACTGTATGCCTGGATCAGACTCAACATATCTCTTTTGCTTAGTATGTGCCTCTTCATGGAAATGGCTTGTTTTTTCCTAAACACTGACAAACATTCATTCAGTCAGTGTTTTACTATTTGCAATAAATAACCTTTACCTGCTGCACTGCAGAGAAAAAGATAATACTGGTTGCCCTGCCCATGCATACAGTAAATGACCCATAGATTCATAGTTTAAATGATCATGGGATCAGGCCTCAGAGAGCAGGCTGAGTAGGGGGGCTGTAGTTCAAGTACAGAAAAAAAAAGAGACAAGTGATGCTCTCAGTGTAGCCCTCTGACTGTGCCAAACAGGGATGATTCCTTCTGAGCATCACACTAGGAGATGAATGTATCTGCATCAAAGTCTTAACAGTGAAATACAATTTCACCTGCATTTACAATACACATCTGTCTCACATTCACCGAATGTCTGACTTTAAAAAGAAATACCTCTGAAGAGTGGGACAGATGTGTGGGTAAACACTGGGTCAGGTCAGATGGAAACGTACTTCCCCAGTGGCAACTTGTGTCGAATGAGCGTACTGTACAGTCAAGTGTGAATATCTGGGGGTTTCAATGTTAAGTTAATAATAATGTGCCTCCACATTAAAGTGACTCTAGGCTTAAGTCACTGGCTTGAAGCAATATTGTAAAAGGGGTGTGTTGGGCACTTTAAAAAGATTTCTATTTTTGTGTATGTATAATCCAAACCAGTGTCGGTATGTCACATTGATCATCCAAGTGAGACAAGAGACAACCAAAGGAAAAAAGGAAATTGTCAGGTTCTAGGATTCGTCAAGATCCCATGATTCTCAGTTTCCTGTTGAAACAACATTAGACTGTCAGTCTTAAAGGAGTAGATTGACATTTCAGGAAATACGCTCATTTGCTTTCTTGCCGAGAGTTAGATGAGAAGATCAATACCACTATCGTGTCTGTCTGGTGAATGTGTAGCTACAGCCACCGGTTAGCTTAACTTAGCATAAAGAGTGGAAACGGGGGGAAAACGCTAGCCTGGCTCTGTCCGAATGAAACAAAATGCACCTACCATCACCTCTAAAGCTCACTAATTTACTCATAGAGAGAGTTTCATCCATACAATAACTGAAGTGTAAAAACATCAAGTTGTGGTTTTATCTGGGTGCAGTGACTTTCTGGAGGCTTAGCTGGTTGCCTGGCAACTGTACAGTGATGACAACACTCCAGGAATTATACAAACAAGACATTTTAATTAATGAGCCTTAGACGTGTTGGTAGGCAGTTTTTTTTTCCTGTTTGTGCAAGGTTGTCTCGCTTTGCTACCAGTATTTTTGCTAAGCTAAGCTAACCGTCTCTTGGCTCCAGCTCCATATTTAGCAGAGAGAAATGAGAGGTTTCAATCTTCTCATGTAATTCTTGGCAGGAAAGCCAATATACATAATTCCCAAACTGCTGACCTATTGCTTTAAGTATAAACCAATAGGCTATTAGTCATGAAAAGATTTGATAGAACTTGTCATCATCCCATGTCTTGGGATGTTTGTGAAAAATAATGCAGGTACACAAGGTGCAACATATGTTATGGGTAATATACATTTGTCATATGTGTGTTTACCATATTCTTGTTTGCCTTAAAAGAGAAAATCCGCCCTCGAGCAGGACTATGACTTGTGTTGTCAAGAAATCTCTTTGGAAACATGAAAGATTAATAAGATCAAATATTTTATTGCAATAATTGAATTTAACTTCTGAAGAGTGGGTTTTCTCTGAGTGCACAAGACAAATCTGTCAGTTGTTGTCTAATCAGACTTGGTTAAAAAAAACATGATTTGTCTGAATTACCGTCTCACTGAACCAATGAATTAAGAAAAATGTGGGAATTGTGACAGCGAGGGCCTTATGATGACAAGCAACTCTATGCAAATCCCGACAGAAGTGACAGTTTGTCACACTGCACCTTCGAGTTACTGTGACAGTTCTGAGAGCAATACGACAGTAGGAGATGTCCTGGATCAGGGAGTTGTGATGATGGGATGCAGGGGTGAATGGGGAACATCCAGAGAGGAGCATGGAGTGGACTGTAGCCCCTGTACTCGATCAGACTCTGCAGGGCATATAGATTCACCAAGTCATGCTCCACCGCCGCTCTCTGCACACAAATATACAGCTGTAATGCTCTGGCTTGCCCTCAGATGATGTCTCCATTTTCAACCTCTCATCCGTGCATATCAGCTCTCGATCTCTTTATTATAGAAACATGAAATCTAATAAAGTTTTGAATAAAACCCGCCCTGTCATGCTGGTCTGTATATGAAGGATGCACTTGTAAAGGGAAACTCTATTTGTCACCCCGATTATGTCAACTGGGTTGTCTCAGTTTGGGCTTGTAGACTACAAACTTTTAATATAAAACCTGCATTACAAACTGCACAGAGCTTCACAGACATATAAACTGCATGCAGAGAAACTCTATTGAAAGGCACTATCAAGCTGCATTATGGGAAGTGTAGGATTGAGTGGTTTTTTTTAGCTTAACTCTTACAAGGGGCTGAAAGTCAGGATATTTCTGCCTCTGTGTTTTACCTTTTTTTTAAAAAAGAAATTGGTCTCTCACTAGTCGCCCCACTTTAAGGAAGATAAAAAGTAAATTAATGGAGTACCCTTTAATCCTATACAATAAACAACACACAGAAGAAAGGTAAATAAACAAAATAAATAATTTTGCCACTAAACTGACATTAACGACAACATCCATGCTCAGAAGATCTTCAGTTATCTTGCCTTTATTTTATGTCCAACTCTCTGATATTTGGAGGGTTGTAGTGAGCTCTGATCATATTGGTTGGTATTGTTATGTTCACCCATTTGCAATACATGAATTATCCAATAAAATACGTTCCTGCAAACAAAAATAAAGGGATTTTGCAGAAAGGAATATGCAAAAATAAAATCTTGTACATTTGGGGGCTTATATGTTGTAGGTTGTTCCTACTGGGATGTTGCATTTATCAAATATGTATCAAACTGCCTGTTGTGTTCCTCCTCTTTTTTTTGCAGAATTTGCTCACCAGGTGTCTCTCTTTATACTTTATATAAAACCAAGCACCATATATTATAAACTGTATGCATAAAAAGGACATCTTAATTAGAATTTGAGCATTGTTATTTAATATTTTGTATTACTAGTGCAGTTAATTCACAAAATACACTGTGCAACAGAAAAGTTGTCCTATATAATCTAGGGCTACTAAAGTTGCTTTACTACCACAAACATAATCACATCTACATCTACAGGGTCATATATTCTACTCGATCACTGTGCAGAAATGAGAGAAAAATGTGCCCGCTTGCATGTGTGCGTCTAACCAGCAGATGTCAGCAGTGACCTGCATGTGGAGCCTGAACCGCCGGACCGGATCAGATCGCAGCGGCCGCTGCAGGCAGCTGTGCCGTGAGAAGAGCAGAGACCTGACCTTCTCTTCAAGTTGTTTAAGTTTAAAGACAACCAAGTTTTGAGTGAGTGACCTCTGACCCTTGGGCGTCCAATACATATGTGAAGTTTTTTTTTTTTTACCGCTAATACTTAATTGATTGAGGATGCAGGATTGTGTTCAGGTGTCCTTAAATGTGGGGAAACTTTTACTCCAGTAAGAATCTGAGCATTATTTGACTTATGAAGTAATGATTATATTAATATAAGACGATCAACGTTAAATGAATGTCATGGTTTCACTGTTTCATAGGCTCTAATGAATATAAAAATACATATTCTTAGTGGTCCGATCTGATCCAGTTCATACATTTGCCAACCTCAGAGCCATGTTGTGTTGATATGTCTGAGGGGTGTGAATGAAATACACATTAATGAGTGTGTACTAAAACGTTAACACAACATACACTTAAATTTTATTGAAGACACAGCAGTGGCAAAAACCACTCCGAGGCATGTTCTGGTTCCTCTGTCAGTCCTCTGAGGATATCAGTCATCCACAATTACACTGAATGAACGTCTCTTTTTGTTGCTCTGTTTTTCTTCATGCTCTTTCTGCGTCTGTGGGAGCTGTTCGGTTGTGCAGCAGATGATCACTTTTCAGATCCACCACTGGCACCCACAGTGACTTTAAATATTCTATGAACTGGGAGTGTCCTGCAACTTACCGTCTTAATTTATGCTTATGCAGGGGAGTTTTTTCACAGCAGGCGCAACAGAGAGCATGGGTGAAAGGGGGGAAATAGCAATGTGGAAAGTTGCTCAGCATCCTTTAAGGTTTCACTGAAGCCTTTTATAATTGGTTTGATTTACCTGCTGTGTGTTTTTTACCTGCTGTGTGGAAGTGTCATGCCCCACACCCCGCTACTCTCTTTCTCTCTCCTCCTCTCTATCTGCAGTGCATTTCTGTGCGCAAATGTCTACGCACGTTTCATGGCTCCGAAAGACAAAGAAAAACAGTCATTAGTCTCTGGTGTAGCTCCACGTCGCTGTGATTAATGCCCAAACTCAGAGGAAAAGACATTAATACATATTAGAGTCCTCGCAGCAGCCTGGGCGGCTTTTTGTAGATCCATATTGCGCAAAGAAACGCGGTCATCAGGGGCGCACAGGTGGGTGCGCTCTCCAAGGTGCCAACAGATCTGTCTGCGCAGCTCCACCGATCACACAAACTGGCAGTTTGGACACAACTGGACCAAAATCCACTGCTCAGCTCACATCGACCCGCGGCTTTTGCTGTGACCCATCGTTCTGCGGTGTTTGATTAGTGTAGGGAGGATGGATTTGTATGCACAGTAGTCTTGGGAGGAGAGGAGGGGACATGGGCGGGGCTGAGGCGCCTCTCATTTCCCTTCCATGCTTTGCGGGGCAGCAGGGCTGGAGAGACCTCCGGGGAGCACAGTCGCCAGTCCAGCACGGAGACCAGCCTGGCCAAAAAACCGCGCCTCACACTTGCCAGGATTGCCAAATATTCCTGAAAAATATACCTGCTATTTATGGCATGTGGCTTGTAACTTTACTCCTGCTGTACTCTCTCCAAGAAGGTAAGAGAAAAAAGAAATGCTTGAAATATTTCACACCCTGCACGCTGAGTGCTGGAAGCCTTACTGTTTTTAAGTTGAATGAAAAGTGATAATTAATTGAAATTAATTGAATTGTAGCTGTGCATGATATATGTGGCTTACGCTTTGATGTATCATCGGACGCCTTGTGATGGGGAATTGATTGAAAATGATTCTTTCAATCAAAATGTAAAAAGCTGCTGCAGCCTAACAGTGGAAATATTTTGAAAGTAAAGGTATAAAGTGATTTTTTTTTTTTTTTGCCAGACTGTTTTGTGGTTTTATGCAGCGGCCCGTGCTGCCTCAGATGGTGCTGATAGCACGGATTGTTTTCGCATTACCAACTCCAGTTATGAATATGTAAAATGGCTGAATAGGGAGAATGAGGTGCAAATACAGAGGGAGGGTGAGAGGGGAATGAAAACATGTATCGGCCTGCAATTATATCAATTGTTTACCAATTTTAGAATAAATTCACTCAAAATGTGGCACTCCTCTGAAGTTTTGAGGGGGATTCTTGTGATTTTTTATATCTTGGTGCTCTCATTTGGTAGCCTTTGCTAATTGCAGCTGTTTTGATGGACTATATTTGGCACAAGCGCTCCATTCCACAGAAATCGTATTTTTTTAGGATGAGATTTTTAGTTTTTCTTTCTCTGTCTGATGACAAATCATTGCCATTTAAATTGAATGACAAATAAAAGGCCTCTTTTTTCCTCCACAACGGCTTTATTAGTTTAATGGATCTACACCCACATAAAGGCCATAATTAGTGTAGCCTATTCAGATTTATCCTCCTTATTTAATTCATTTGGTCTCTTCATTTTTTTACCCTTTTGTTTAATTTTTATTTGTACATATAAAAGGCGGTCTATTTGTTTAAATAGATTCATTTTCTTTCTTGTTCAGCAGTAAATCCCTGACCCTATTGCAAAGTTGATCTTCTGCTATTACAGTGCATTATAATAATCCTGAACAAATCTGCGTCGAAAATAACAGAAGTTCAACACTATCTGCACATGAGAGCTTTTTCTAGGCCTTTGTGTAGCCTGCCTGTTTGGAGCCATGTTTACATACTGTTTTGTCCTCATTAGCACAGGCCCCGAGAAGGTGGAAATGCATCTATCAAAAAGTCCGTGATGTGGATTGGGCTGGGGGAAGAGGAATATGGCTGTTCTCGATGCCAACGAGTTGATTAAAATAGGCCATTATGTCCAATTTGCCATTTTAAGTTCTTACACCGCCTCACATTGGATTACCCTGTTTGTGAAAAATATCAATTAGCCACGTTTGTGCTTGCTTGTGTTTGCTGTCCGTGTTTTGTGTCACTCGACCCTCTTAAATTCATTACATTCGTCAAATATTTGCTGTTCATTTACAGCCATTATTCAGCTCGAGAGATGTGATTTCAGAGCCTCTTTTATTAATATGCGCAAATTTATTTCACCAAATGAGAAACTCCAGGGGCGTGGGTGCAGATTATAGACTTGCCCGGTCATGTTCCTCACTAATAGCGCACCTGGACCCCGCAGACGTGATCGCGCGTGTGCCAGCGCGTGCGTCACGGTTCGTGTTTCTGAGTGTGTGTGTGTGTGTGTGTGTTGGCGGGCGCGCGGAGGAGGGGAAGTGACGGGGACACCCCTCTTGGTTTTGTTGTTAAATGTTGGACACTTTTGGACGCTGTTTGTGGAGGAACTGAGCTGGAAGTTCACTCATTCTTTTATTTTTTTGGTTTGTAAAATATATAAAACATTTTTCACGACAGTAATGATAAAAAAATGTTATAATAATGAAAAATAATTTCAGAGACACAGGTTTAGGAGGCAATTAGGGTGTAGGGTAATTAACGGATCTTTGAGGGGGAAAAAATGCTTGAAGGGTAATAACAGGTAACCAATTAAAGCAGATAGCCTATAGTTTTTTTTTACATTAATTTCAGATATTATACCTAATTAAAGGAGGATTTATTGTGATTTTTAATTGGTGATTTGAAAACAAAAACGTGTGTTTTCTCATTTTAAATCAAATTCACTGACTGTATTTACTGGAATTGCGGATTAATTAGCAGTTGATATACAGGCATGCTGTAGGCCTATTTTGAACTTTAAATTTAAGATGCAATTTATTAAACAAAATTAAAAAAGGATTTGTGTGACATTCAAACAATATAACTTGAATTTTAATTTCAGGTGTGGAAAGCAATAAGGTGATCCTTCACCCTGGCACACTCTTGTCCTCTCCACTGCTCACCCGAATAGAAATATGCAAAAATTCACCCCCTCCTCCTCTTCTTCCCTCCCCAGTCCAATTCCCTGTGCTGCCTTTGCAAGGCTGCACAATTAAAGCTGCAATCTGAGCTATATAGGCACCACTCAATGACAGAGTTGTGTGGTCCACAGGGGTGCCAATCATTACTCAGGCAGGGCACAGGCCTACATTTTTACCAGCTCAAACCTGGCATTATTTAATTTTGCAAAAACACCCACCATAAAGAGGGTTAAAGGAGAAATATCGGGCTCCCAGTGTGATTTTTTGATATAATTTGGTTCTTTCAGAGGCTAGAATACATGTTCATTTAAGGTGAGGGAACTGAAATATATGAATATATATTTATATAGAAATGTCTTATGAACAGGCTGTTACTGGCTATTTTCTAATGATCTGAGAATTGACTTACACTTTTAACCCCAAAAAACCATCAGTTACATATAATTTAACAACACAAATGTCAGTCATCCTTCACATATGGACAAAGAAAAAAATACCAGCGCTCAAATTTTGATCAATGATGTTGCCAAATGGCGGGTAAAGTGTGCTGGTGTAAGACTGTCAGCAGGGAAACGGAGCTCATTGCACTTCCCAGCTCACCAATAGGATGTCACAGCTCTGTCACTGGTATCCCTGCTCTCCCATTCGTCCTTAAATGTTTTATAAATCCCAATGAGATTATGAAAAAGAATAAATCATTTAAAAAAAACAACAACAACAAAAAGATGCAAATGAACACAATCGACAGTGAGAAATGTTTTTTTTTTCACCCAACAAGAACTCTGTGTATCACTACACTGATGCTAAATTGAGCCAGACCTCCTCCAAATTTTATTGGATGCTGGAGCTGCACATTTTCAGAAGGAGGGTGCGTTCAGCAAATGTCAAATCTCTGAAGCAAGTAGTTGTTTTTGTTGGATTCTCTCTCTCTCTCTCTCTCTCTCTCTCTCTCTCTCTCTCTCTCTCTCTCACTCACTCTCTCTCTATCTCTATCTCCATCTCTCTCTCCATCTCTCCCTCCCTCCATCGTTTCCTCTCGCAGTAACTCCCCTCCCTCTCTTTCCCTCATCACTAGGCAGAATTAAAGGTTGGGGGAGGGGCAGTTTATGCAGACTGTGCTGGGACTTGTGATCCACAGATTTGATATTCACATTAAGAGAGAAACTGGCTGCTTTGATGTGAGGGGGAGCAGGTCCCAGGGGACTGCTGAAGTAGCACACTTTTTTTTTTACTGACACAGCACAGGCCACGGGAGGGGGGGGAGGAGGGGGGGCAGATTGTTGGGGACAGGGTGTACAGAAAGACAGTAGGTGGGGAGAGGCGATACCCTTTTGTTGATTAGATGTAACCCCAACAACCCCCCCACCCCCCTTTACTTCTCCACCCACCAACCACCTACTTATGCCAGACCCTCCGAGGATTATCCATAAGATTACACCTATCTTTATCCCCCTGCATCCACACCAATATTCAATTCACACCCCTTCTTACAGAGCGTCTCCTCCCACTTCCTCCTCTGCTGCTTTATGTTTCCACACGCAGTCTCAATCCCTGTGTATCAAAAACACAACTTTCTGTCCTGAAAACACCTGAGGGATGAGTGACGGAGAGATGGCAGGACAGGAAGGGAGTGAACACAGGAGTTGGAGTCAGGTTTGGAAATGAAGCTGTTTCCAAAATGGAAAGCAGTCAAGGTGGGGAGAGGTTTTTTGACAGTTGCCAAGGCTGATGTGCATCGTCTTGTTAAGTTAAATCCTACTTTTGACCTTAACCATATCGCTAAATCCAGTGAAGATAAAAATGCAGTAAAAATGATTTTGCCATGAGAAAGAAATGGAAAGATGGAGTTGGGTGAGAGGAGAAGAAGAAGAAGAGGAAGAACATGTGGAGGTATTACGCCTCTGGGTGCATGGGCACAGGGAGCTCTGGGTGTGAGAATGTGTGTATGTGAAACATTGGGGGTTCTCGGGTTTGTTTACTTCCTCATCACAATACAGTTGTGTGTGTGTGTGTGTGTGTGTGTGTGTGTCTGTACACTCCTGTGCACACTCACATCCTGGAGAGGCGTAGATCAGCTGCATTATGCATGATGAAACCTTGCATAGGTTATGACTTCTGCCTCTCTGACATACATATTCATGCGTGGCTCCCTGGCAGGATGTATAAAATAGTGGTTGCGACTCTGACAGCCTAAGCTTTAGCTCCAGGAGCGCCGTCACTGCTCCAACACCTTTCAGTGAGGGCTGGTATTTCTCTGTGTCTGAACGAGGTTGATTAAGCCTCCTGGGTGCAGGTGAACTGCAGCAGCAACAACACAGGAGTCCCACAGCTGTGGTCAATATTGATATCAGGGTACTGACTGTCCATATGCTGCTGGAGTTTGATGTGTTTGTGGATATGCATCGCTCAGAAAGGTGGGGACACCGATATTAACATGCGCAAGAGATACAATTGTCTCAAGGTGTTAAAGCCCACTTGCAGGTTTTGATGTATTTCTGTTAGTTAAATCAGCACAGATTAATGTAGAGCTGAAACGATTAGTCAATTAATCAATCGACAGAAAATTAATCGTTCACCTCTGACGATCAATAAATCATTTCAGTGATTAAAAAAAGAAAAGCCCAACGTTCTCCGCTTCCAGCTTCTCTTTTCTGTTTTCTGTTTTATCCGAATATCTTCAGGATTGGGACAAAACAAAGTATATGAATACCTCACCTTGGACATTTTAATGTTTGATCAGTTAATTGAAAAAACATTTAGACAGATTAAATGATAATGAAATGAAGTTGCGGCCAGACTGTGTGAATGTAGGAATGTGACCTGACAGAACTTGAAGACATTGAGATGAAGGAACTTTAATGTTCAGATTTAGCATTATTTTTGTTAAGTTAGAGAAACGAGAATAAGTCGATAACAATATAGCTATTAATTGTGTTAACGGAATTTGGAGAAATGTAAAAAAAAAAAAGTTCTGGTTGTAGGTTAGTATGGTGGCATGCTGGTTTGACTGGATGTTAACTTTACTTCTTGTGGTATTTAACTGTCAAGGCTGCGATCAAAACATATCTCGTCTGTCTCCCTAATGTTACCTATCAAGCAAAGGTTTTCTAAAAAGTTGACTGGTAGAATTCAAACTTAATTTAGCTAAAATAACAGTTCAATGATGCGATTGATGACATAACCATTAATTAAAGACTTTCCTGTAATAACATTTAATTGATCCTTTTATTGGTTAAACCTGAGCTGTTACACCAGGGGAATGGTTCCCCACTTGTGGTCTTAATGGCTCAGTTTGATGACGGAGGTGTGTGTGTGTGTGTGTGTGTGTGTGTGTGTGTGTGTGTGTGTGTGTGTGTGTGTGTGTGTGTGTGTGTGTGTGTGTGTGTGTGTGTGTGTGTGTGTGTGTGTGTGTGAGAGGTGGCTGGAGGCAGGTAATTATCAGATTCAATGTTATAAACACGTTGAACAGCTGTGTGTTAGAATGAACTGGACCGACTTGAATTTCATCTTTGACGTGATTTGTTGTTTAGCTCACTGCTGGTACTATTTGTTTGCTTGCCACACAAGCCGTTCCATACAGATTTTCACAGGTGGTATGCAATGTTTCGACTATCGGGTTTTAAATGGAGTGGAAACTCCGTCAGTCTGGCACAAACCAGGACTCTGCCAGCTGAGTTTTGGAGCGCACCCATGTGATGCACTAACGTGGTTGTGCCTGACCACGACCAAGCAAACAGCAGTTTTTCATCCTATCACTGACTGGCTTGGTCACCGCTGGCGTGTCAGACATTTAATTTTTGCCAAACTAAATTAAATGAACACTATTTGCACTTTCTGTAGGCAGCCTACTTGTTCTGTTTTCACCCGTATGTCTTTTCAACCAACCTGCAGGTGTTTGAGACGGTATGACAGAATGTGGGGTTTGTTGACTTGAAGTTTCTAAATTTAGATTCTTCAGTGGGTCACTGTTGTTAGGTTAAATTGTTGCATTGTTTTTTATTCAGTCACAGCTTTCAAGTGCCAGTGCCACCATGGCAACCCATTCTGTCTCCTCCCAGTGTGACTGAGCGCTGAGAGCTGCTTTTGGAGTGTGTATGTGTTTATGTGTATGCATGTGTGTATTGGGTGAGTGCATGTGTGGTTCGCCTGGTTTTGACAGGCTCTGAGTGGTGGGAGTTTGCTCTGATCCCCTTTCTATTCCACTTCCCGCTCCATCAGTCCCAGTGCTCCCCAGCCCCCCAGTGCCCAGGCCCCCCGGCCATATAATCTACTGTATGAGAGGTTCTCTTGCTGCCCAGCCCCCCTGAGCTCTCAGGGTGACCCCCTCACTCCTCCACTTTAGTCCTGTCCCCCCATTGGGAGATTATAGATATTGCAATCTTTAATATGGGCTTTATGCTCAGGGGCCATTATCAGTAATCTGCAGAGGGGAGGGAGTCTGACCTGGTTTTTGCAGCCCACCACCGGACTGCCAGACACATTTTCATATACCATCTGTAACATTCTGCCCAGCTTTATCAATCTCTAGTCTACTAGGGACAGTAGCATTTCTTTGAAAGAAAGCTGGAATTATTAACAACCCTTCCTGGATGTTAGAGATAGCTGTGTTCGATCTGGTGCACTGAGTTTAGTGCTAGCACAGTGACAGTGTTGATGGTGATGATTGATTCTACCAGTTCTTTTTTTTTTTATTCATGTCTGCCTCACCCATAGCTTAAAGCCACAGCCTAAACAAAGACTAAATTTATTATTTGGGGTATTACCATTGTGCTTCATGCACCTATGAAAACCTAAAACTGACCCGTGAGATGTGAATTTTCTCTGTTGTCCTGTTTCCTCAAACGATTTCATGATTATTCAAAAAGGATGGGACAAAGCTTCTCATACAAGATCATCATTTAGCTGGTACACCACAATTGTCACCATAAAGAGTTAATAATAACAAATAATGTAATAATCAGTAGAATATTGAAACTTTTATCAGCAGAAATTGAAGATGTCTGTTCCTCTTTTTTTTCTGTCAATCTTGAGTTTTCTGTGTTAATCAGACAAAACAAGCAATTTGATAAAATTACTTTGTTTTTTAGCAATTTCTAAGGGCATTTTTGTTTATTATTTTCTGACATTTTACAGACCAAAATGATTAATAGATTTTTTAAAAACTGCTCTGTTTATAGAGGTTTTTTACAAAACTCTTTACAGGATAGAAGAAATCATTAGCTCTGTTTTGTAACAAAATTAACTAATGATAATTAGTCAGAATTAGAATTGTTTTTTTTTAGTTGTTTTTGATGATAAAGAATAAAATCACAAAGCCTGATGTGACCACCAGAAAACACTGAAACTTGAAAACAAAAGTAAGATTGTGCGACATTATCAAGTGTCAGTTAAATCATTTAATAATTTGATATCAAATCATTAAATTAAATGCACTTAAATCAATTAAAATGTAATATCGATATAGTGAAACTTTTATTTTGATCAATTGTAATAAATATTGGCATTGTTTCAAAAAGTCAGCAACAAGCAGTATTTAATAGGCGAGAAATATAGAGGAAAAATCAATTAGATCACTTTTGCAGAAAAGAACACATTTATGACTGAACAACTCCTACAGTACACCGAGTGCTAATTTTATCTAATTTGGATCAAAATCCTTTATCTTTCAGTATCTGTTATTATCTTCCATGATGTTTCAGACTGTCTGTGCTGAACTGAACATTAACAGGGCGAACATGTGGTGGGATGGGGTGTTTTAGATGATATAATTTAGAATCAGTGGTGGTTAACATCCACATCTGTCCATCAGCAGTGTATCCCACCAACACACACACACACACACTCTTCTTTCTGTTCTAATCTTTCTTATAATGACCCCAAATTTGATAGCCCCCCCCCACCCCCTTCTCCTCCTCCTTTCCTCTTCTCACTCTCCTTTCTCTACTGAAGCTGTATGTGTTTAATCTGAGTGCCAATGAAGAACATTCCTGTATGTGTGTGTTTGTGAGTGTGTGCATGTGTGTGTGTGTTAAATATGTAAGGAGATTAAATAGACTTAAATCTCTGCGTCTGGCATAGAAATTCCAATCACATAACCTATCAGCGTGTTCTCTCTCTCCCTCTCTCTGTCTTTGCTTGTGTATGTGTGCACTCACTGTACGGAGGTAACAGCCCCCCCCCCCATCCGATCCACCTAAACCATCACAGGCTTTAGCCCAAATCCCTGGCTTTCTGGATCACATGACTGATGTTTGCAGCTGGACATTTGACATACATTTGTTATGATTATTTTGCCACACATTTGAAGGACATTCCCACTCTGTCCATTTGTTTTCCATTAATGTGACGCAGATTGCTTTAAATGAATGGCAGTGTAATGCTGTTAGCTTATGTTCATACTTTTACACCTCATAACAATTGCTCATTGTTGACCTCTGACCTCCAACTCCGCCTGTTTAGTGATGGTGTGTTTTCTTTTTGCCCCTGCAGTACACAGTGAGGATGTGGGCTCTACCAGGCTGTACTTTGTGAATGCCTCCCTGCAGAGGGTAACCTACTCCAGCTCGGTGGGGGTGTCCCTGCCCTGTCCAGCAGGGGGCACCCCCAGTGCCATACTGCGCTGGTACCTGGCCACCGGCGATGACATCTACGACGTGCCCCACATCCGACACGTGCACGCTAATGGCACCCTACAACTGTACCCCTTCTCGCCCTCCGCCTACAACAGCTACATCCACGACAACGACTACTTCTGCACTGCTGAAAACCAAGCTGGCAAGATCCGCAGCCCCAACATCCGCATCAAAGCTGGTGAGTCGAGACCACGGTCGGGAAGGGAACAGAGCGACTGAAGGATATGAAAGATTGAGATAGAAAAGAGAGATCATGGAGCAAAAAAGCCAAAGTGAGACACAACATCATGAGGAATGGAGAAAAAAAGAGACAGTAGTGAAAGCATAAAGTAGAGCAGATGTGATTGGCAGCTGCAAAAAAGCCCAACCCACACACAGAATCACCTGCCCTAAAATAGCCCGTCTCGACCTGAACACAGATTGACCTAGAACACAGTCTACAGAGAGAACATCTGCATCACATACTACACCAGGCCTCGGCCTTCACTCACACCTATTTGACTGAGCTGGTGATAAACCGCTGCACTTTATACCGACATAACCTCTTCAACTGCATCTACAGCTGTTAGGATGAAATCCAAAACACAACCCCTGCAGTACTTAGAGTTGAGTAGCAAGTCCAATGTGATTTTTAGATGATATAACCAGATCAGATGAGGAGGAAAAAGTGTGACAATAGGTTATATCACATTACCGGCTCACCCTCATTGACAGTCCTTCACTTTTTAAAAGGACAGTGTAATAAAGGCCACCAGGAACTTGACAGCCGCTTGGATATTTTTCAAGCAAGGTTTCTTAAAGCTTTACAAGGTGTGAAAAGTAATTCAACACCTAGTGATTTGGAGATATGGTGACCTTTTCTTACAGCTATGTATGCTAACCTAAAACGGGGGGATTCGAATTTATCTTACATATGTTTGAATACGCTGTTACCATACATACAGAAATATCTCGGACCTGTTTTCAGTAATCACAGAAGAGATTAGTATGAGTTAGAATAAAGGCTCAATCAATAAACACTAGTACATATTATAATTAGTCTATTTTTAGAAATTCTGACCAAAAGCTGCCTCTGTTGCCATCATATTCTCTCTTCTGTCCTCCTTCTCCTCCCTGCTCCCTCGTTCTTCAAACTGTCCTCTTGTGCCAGACTAAATATAGCCACAGCACACTTCTTTAATTATCTCTCATTAACAAACCTAATTGGTGCTTTCCATTGATTGGACTGCGTGAGGCTGCTTTAACAAGCGAGACCTCATCTAAAGTAAAATAGTACCTCTGGGGGTTTTGGGTTCCTCCTGCTCTAGAACCAGCAGAGATACATGAAGAAGCATTTTAACAAACAGACAGTTACATCAAACCGCAGCTGAAACAAAGCTACAGCTGGATGATAGTTACACTGCATCTATTGTCCCACCCCTGCCCTCCTCCTTCCTATCATTCATTCAGGCCAGTCGGTCCCTCCCCCTTCCCTCCTGCCATCAACATCTGTTTTCATATTCTGCCTCCCAACACCGACCTGAACTAATACTCATATTCATTCTAATACTAATACTAGCGCCAAGTTGAGGATTTGAGCCAGGACCCTGAGCTGCATGCCAGCCGGTTGCTGCCTTCATTCCCGCATGACCCTAAAGCCTGGCCTCAGGAGACGAGGGATTAGCATGAACCAAACATCCTGCAGCCAGCGGCCTCTGTCGGGGCCCTGGCAGCTCCGGTGCTGCACAGGTTACGGCCTGACAGGATGCAGACACTTTGTTTTGGGGTTTTGGTCTTGTGGCCATGGTGTTGCACTCGCCCCCGGCCATTGAGCAATAACTGACAGGGGTCCACTTTTACTGCTTCATGGCTAACAACAGTTTCTAAGCAAATTCACATCAGTGTTGGTTCATTTCACATCATTTCAAAAGAACTTGACAGATCTGTTTTCAACTGTTCAAAGAAGATGTGAATTAACATGCACTTGCATGTGTTTCCCTCTTGCAGCGGGAATGTATGCACGCTGTCATCGTGTCTGTTACCAGGGAAGGGATTCCGAACCAGTTTCTTAGCAACCTTCGGATACGTCCTAGCTTTCATGTGATTTTGCTAATGAGTCCCTGCTCATTCAACAGAGTGTAAAATATTGCATGAACCTGCATAAACTGAATAACCCTTCAGTTTACTTTGAGTGTGCAGCTCAGCACTGCTCCTTATGAAGTTCTGTACAAAACAGTAGATCTATGTTTCATGATGATGTCACGCCAAAGCTACAAAATAATTTCCATGATTATCCTGCCTAATGGCGGCCTGCGCCATTTATGGTGAAAGCAGAGGCAGGATTAGAGGAGTTCAAACAATACACCAGAGTAGGCCAGTAATTTCCAATGAATAAATGTGGAGTGCTGTGGTAATTGATGAAAGGGTGTTTTGCTCTGGAGTGTTAATGTGTTGTTTTAGATGATGTAAACATGAGTAGATTATTGTTTTTGTCTCAGAACAGGACTAACATATGATGTACATGCTTGTGTCAACAGATCTTCTGGATAGGTGATGGAGGATATTTTGTGTAGATAAACAATATCTTTTTTTTTTTCTTTTATAATAAAAATATCCTGAAATGCCTTTGTGTCTGGTTGGAAAAGCTTCTCAAATGACATTTAGACCCTCATGGGTCACCACACCTCAGCTATTCAGTGGTAGGGAAGTAATCTTGCCTTTTAAAGCTTGAGATATCAGCTTTCTCAGTATCTTTTTTGCATTTTTTGTAGTTTTCAGGGAGCCCTACACCGTGCGGGTGGCGGACCAGCGCTCGATGCGGGGCAACGTAGCTGTGTTCAAGTGCCTCATCCCTGCTGCCGTGCAGGAGTACGTCAGTGTCGTATCCTGGGAGAGAGACACCGTTTCCATCGTCCCAGGTAGGACATCAAAATGAATGAATTTGGATTATCCAGGGGTGGGCAGGTTGATTCATTTCATTGGATTTAGGTATGTCTTTATCTTCTCTCTCTCTCTCTCTCTCTCTCTCTGTCTCTCTCTCTCTCTCTGTGTGTGTGTGTGTGTGTGTGTGTGTGTGTGTGTGTGTGTGTGTGTGTGTGAGGACGGTTGATGCACCGCTGTGCTCTATGTTTGACCGAACTCTTAACTCATGTCTTCTGTCTGCTCACTGTTCTGGATCACTGATCTGGTCCCCCTCCTCCTCCTCCTCCTCCTCCTCCTCCTTATTCCTCCTTCCTCCTTCTAGCTTGTATCTCCTCCCTCACTCTCCTTCGTCTTCCTCCTCTTTTCACAGACATTTCCTCCTCTGCTATCACTGCTTTTGCACATCATCACATACAGGTTTTTCTTTTTTTTTTCAATAATTGTGATTGACACTGCATTAGACTTTCCTCCAAGTTATGTGACTGTTTCAGTTTCTCCTCATCAGATCTATTTCTGTCCTCTCCCTGCTTGTCTTTACCACCATGTCCTTGAAGAACAGGGCCACAATTAGAGACACAGGATGTCAATAGGACTGTGCCCCCACATTCATCTTCATTAACCTCATTTGTGTGTGGCAGTGTGTGTGCAAGAAAGAGAGAAAGAGAAATGTGTTTAGTCTCTCTGTCCGTCATTTGTGAATACATTATGAGTGTTTCATTATGTGATTATACATTGTATGTAGTGCAAGGTATGTTTGAGATGTATGCGTGATTGTTCTCTTGCGATAACAATGTAGGAGAGAGGGATGAAAGATAGAGGAGAAAAATGAACCAAAGGAGGAGAAGCAAGGAGGGTAGTAGGGCAAGAATGGCCTCAGGTCCTGGCAGATGGCGTTTTATATTATATGTATGCAAAACACACAGACACTGTGTCACACATACACATGCACCGAGGTTGAAGTATTTTATTTTCAGACATTTCATTGGGTTGTTTTTTTAGTTAATTTATTAGTTTTGTTTTGTATTGCATTTTTGCATCCTGGCAGAAAGCTGCTACATTAAGAACATGTTATAACATGTTGTAATGAAACTTATTTCAGTTTTGAATTTCATTTTGGATACACAAAAACACCCACAAAAATCACTTTTAATATTCATTTTGATTAGATATTATTCTTTATATATATATTCCACACACTAATTCTCTTTTTATTTTAGCAAAATACTTCTATATATTCTATACACCGTCCAGCCATTTTATTGTATAAAAGTTTCTGCTAACAAATTGAATTGAATGAGATTTTAGTTTCTGTTCTTTGTTGTTTTCAAATGATATTTTAAATCTACACAGATTAAGAATTCCCAAATCCTGTTTGGTTCACAGTGACAACATGATTTTCTGTGCTTCCCAAACATAAACACAGTTGATCTGGTTTGGATGTGCCAGTCCTCTGTGTGTGTATGTATGGTTTATATGTATGGGGTGTTGCTGTGTATACTGTCATGAAGCCGCTGTGTGTAATTAGGGGTATATAGGTCAGTTGATGAGCAGTGAGTGTGAGGATCAGATGTTGAACATGATGAGCTGCTCACTGAACTCAGCGTTCGCTTCCCAACGACAGCCGCACACACAAACACAACAAGCGCTTGCAATGTGTTTGTGTTCAACCTTGACCCCAACCTCTCGGTTCGTCAACGTGACCTCATCCTCCTTACAGCCAACCAATGCAGTTGCTTATTTGCAACAAAACCTCGCTTTGAAACACAGTTCATAATCTGAATATTGTAAGTGCACTCTCACATGGATGCACAGAAAATATCCACATGCAGTGAATATGCACATACAGGAGCTGCATGTGGTTACATAAACAGTTCAGGAACCTTACTGATGCTGATCTCCAACTCCTCAGCTAACCATTGAGTTAGTCTAACATCATCGGTTAAAGTCTCTTTTTCTCTCTCCCCCCGACTGGGCCAGCAGAGGACTGTCTGGATAGGTCTAATGAAGATGTGAAAATTAAAATTGATTTTGTGACTGAAAGCACCGCTCCGTGCGAGTGTGTGGGTGGTTGCCTGTCTTGCCTGTCACTATTTGTTATGCTCGCCTTAAGAATCACAAAAGGAGGAACTGCGGTTCGAAGGAGTACATCCATACATGCTTGTGCACACATGCACCTGTCCTCTTTTTAAAACTAAAACATTCATTCAGTATTTTTCCTTACGTGCTTGTTCCTGTTCGGGGGTCATGAGAGACCTACCCCAGCATGCACTGTGCAGAAGGCTGGAAAACACTGTGGGCTTTTCAGTTTTACAAACAGTAACATGCACAAAACCGACTTGCACGTCTTTTATTTTGAGATCTGATCCCCATTAGCTGTTCCTGCAGCAACAAATAGGACGTTACCTGGTGTTGCATTGACAAAGAGGGACATTGTCTGCTGAAATGCACTGCAAACAGCAAGCCAAAACACTCAACCGTCACTTAGTTTTGATACATGGATATTGTTAACATATTGATCTTTTAAAAATTGACTTCTATTAGAGGTATTGATGCATTCAAATCTTCTGCCTTCAAAGCAACACAGATCATAGGACACACACATCTGAATACAAAGTAAGATTACATAGTGACCCGACTGCCCACTTCTCCTTCTAATTAAAAAAAGAAATAGTGAATCTATATCTTCCTCTTCATCTTCACTTTACACCTGCGCCTACCTGCACGGGGTAATTATTATGTGTAGACCCTGATCAGTAGCACGATCACATACCGCTCTGAAGGTTGAGTTGATGACATAACACAACGCAGCCATGCCCTCTGAACCCCAACAGGTTCCATTTTGTCAAACACACATGTTCCCCATCTGGAGCCGTGTGTGTGTGTGTGTGTGTGTGTGTGTGTGTGTGTGTGTACGTGTCCCTTTGCCTGCCCCACTTTCCTGTCCAGCCAGGACAGTGAGGGGGTTTAAGAGAGGAGGGGTGCAGGCAGACTGACCTATTTCCCTCTCACTTCCCTGTCCCATACCATCCCTGTAGTTAAGCTTTGTGTGTGTGCATGTGTTTGTGTGTGTGTGACCCTCACGAGACAATGGAGGCCTGCTAGTCTGAGCAGTGATCTAAAGGAGGAGAGCTGGAGCGGAGACAGAGAGATGGAGGGTTTGTGGACGGGAATGAAAACAACAGTGGGACACAGAGAGGGTTCAGCTTGCAGATCGAGGCCGTCAGTCTAACCAGCAGAAAGCTAATGAGTGGCTCCGATGAATAGAGACTGGACCAGCAGATGGCTGCGGCCACATGGTGGTCCACAGAAGATGCCCAACCATGCTCCATCTAACCCACCTGCCACACAGTTTGGTCTTGTTTATGTATTTGCACAGCAATTTGATACACATGGCCATAAAACCCAGTGCTGAAAATTAATAACAGAAGGGAAACAGTTTAAATTTATAGATCAATAAGATTGGGAAACTCCTCTTGGACACATTAACACCTCACCTACTCATCCTTAGTACTCTGTGTACTCTTTTTTTTGTATTATCTTTGTACTCTTTATATTTTCATTTTCTTATTCAGTCACTCTCCAAACTTCCTCTCCATTTTGTTCTTCTCTGTCTTTGTGAAACTGCACAAGATACAGACGTGTTTTGCGTGGGTATAGGCCTCTGATTTTGTGTATCATTAAATGGACGCTACATTTCCAGAAAACTGTGAAAGATGCATTTGATTACATATTTCTAGTTCAGTCCCTGTTGTTGAAACTAAGGTGGGTTTAACCTGCGTTGAACCTGTCAGTGTGTAAATGCTGAGTTATCGAGGCTTAATGTGAACTTGGATCCTAATGGGTGTCGCCGGGTGGCGAGGTCACTTACAGGCTACATTACAGATCAATCCTCTGCCCCTGGGGTCCCTGCTGGAAGTCAAACGGTTCAACAGAGACACAGCAATACACACACATGCACACACACATAGGGGTTAATTGGGAACACCTGGAAAATTACAGCTGAGTTTATCAGTTTGTGGGATAAGTTACAGTAACTAAGCTGATTAGTTTGCAGAGTGACTTGAGTTTGATGATGATAAATTGAATATGCCTACTTTAGAAGAGTATATCATTACATCCTAGTGACGCAACTAATGGTTATTTTCATTATCAATTCATCTGCAGATTTTTTCTGTTTTGTTGGTGTCTTAAACTATCTGAAAGGAGAAAAATCTGACAGCTGAAAGGGACATTGTTAAATGTCTTGTTTTGTCCAAACCACAGTCTAAAACAGAAAGATATTCAACTTGGAATGATGCAAAACAGGAAAAAGTGTCAAATCATCACATTTCAGAAGTTGGAGCAATTCATTTGAGCATTTTTGAAAGAAAAATTACAAACATTATTAAGGATTTATCAATATCACTGCCAATTAAATTTCTGTCACTTGACTGATCCATTAATCAAGTAATTGTAACTGCTCTAGCTATTACCAGTCAATCTATCTATCTATCTATCTATCTATCTATCTATCTATCTATCTATCTATCTATCTATCTATCTATCTATCTATCTATCTATCTATCTATCTATCTATCTATCTATACAGTTGTATATACATTGGCCCTTTATTCACACATGCACATACTGCTGCAGCTTTTTCTCTCAGTAATTAAAAAATTGGTGTCATAAGGCTCCACACAGGTGCAGGGAGGAGAGAGGTGACAAAGGCAGAGGGACCTCATGGAGAGCAGTGGTGTGTTAGGACACGATGTCTGTTTGTAAATCTGTGCTTGCACACTCAGCGCAGGAATACATTAATAGATACACTTGTCTGGGACACCGCAGACTCTTGTAAACACTGGTCTAACACACACACACACACACACACACACACACACACACACACACACACACTCGCTTCTACAAAGTACAAATGTACAAGCCTACACACATACGCACATCCCCCTTGAAAGTAACACAATAAAGCCATTTTCAGTTTTTGCATGAACCTGCC